GAGGAGACCCACTAGCCTTGGCCCTTCACCACGCCCGGGCTAACAAGTGGTTCTCCAGATAAAGTCATTCATAAAATTGGCGAGCGTCCCAGTCAGCTGTGTTTACGATGGCAGTAGTACGTCAACACGTGGCCACACCTCGTCCCTCCCTCCCTCCCCCGACTAACTGTTGTCCTGGGTGTCTGGCCCAGTGCGTGTCCCTCACAGGCTAGCAATGCTTAAGGACAAATCGGTATGTGTTGACGCAAGCTTGCTACACTGTGTCATGCGGCTTTCCGAGATTAACTGGACGTTTTTAGTGCGTGAATGTTGCAAGACGAGACCAACTTTACTCCAGCGGCGCTTATTTTGTCCTTGCTTATTAGAATGGTGCGACACGAGAGTTACTGAGTGGTATTGAAGGCGAAGATTGGAAAAAAATGGTATCACCTGAAGATTAGAAACCCCAGCTTATTTCACCTGAATATTAGAAACTCCAGCTTATTCCACCCGATGATTAGACACCTCAGCTTATTTCACCTGAAGATTAGAAACCCCAGCTTATTTCACCTGAAGATTAGAACCCCCAGCTTATTTCACCTGAAGATTAGAAACCACAGCTTATTTCACCTGAAGATTTAAAGATTAATCCCTAGGTAGCGTTCGGGTGGTTAATCTTCAGGTGAATTTTAGGTACAACTAGTCGGCTATCACAGCCCCTCACCCTAATGCAGCTCTTCACTAATATAAATAACATTCATCAACAATAACAACACACCACAAGTAATATGGACAAAAGTACATCATCTTTATCCTCTTCACCACTGATCGGCAACAATAACACCATGATTATTTGGAGGAAAAAAATCATTCCACGAGAACGACACAGGAACAGCAACGAACGCGGGAACAAATACACGAACAGCGACAAGTACTGGAACACGGGAACAAGAGCAGTGACGAACACGGGAACAACAACAGAAGCACCAGAGAGGAACAAGCAACAAGCAGAAGGGGGATGAGTGACAAGCAGGGCGCGGCGTAACACGAACCTCGGTGTGGGGCAGCAGACATGGCCGACCCTGCTCCCGCTTTTATTTGTTTTACTCTCAATGCCTCTTTTTTTTTTTCCTTCTCTAACCAACATTCCCGTTCTATTTATAATTTATGATTGTATATTTATTTAATTTATATGTTTAAAGGGTGTATGGTTGTCTTGATGTCGGCTTGTATTTTATTTCATTGATATTCCCAACGGACTCGTCTTGGGCTGGTGGAGGAGGACCCAGACGGGAACAGTGCGACTAGTTGTTGAATTTCCATTTCTTGTGAACGCTGATCCTCCTCCCTCTCACCCTCATGTTTACGTGACGAGGGTGAAATGTGGAGATATGATATGAGACAGACTATGTACAGAAAAAAAAAGAACGATAAAGAGTAGTAGAGAAGAGGGCGTTTTTACTCATGATTTATGACTTAGCTGTGGTAGACGGAGAGGCTGTAATTGCTGTCTCCGTGTGTTTGTTTTTTTGTCTTAATTTAATTATCTCAAAAATTGCACGACTGATTTTTGATGAAACTTTGTCATGTGGGTTGGTTGTTAGTATAAGGTGAGTGAGCTGAGGTAAGAGTCAAAGCTGTCGACATTATAGTTACACCATTGATCATGATAATGTCGGCTGTCACAACATAAAATTACCTGATGTTTCTGAATAAACTATAATGGATGTTTGTCTTGGATGAGGTACATGAATATTGTCCTGGCATTACTATCACCAACAGACAAGTAATAAATTTTCCAGCCATAAGACTGCACAAAGGTCAGGGTGCGGCGACCGATGTGGGTTCAAGCGCATGTGTCCTGTACTAAGGGTCACTGCTTCGATCCCGGAACACTGCCGCTTCACCCAACTGTAAATGGGTACATATCTGATACAACGTTTGGGGAAGTCAAGGCGCTCGAGTGCAGTGCTATCCATGCTGCCTCTTTGTATATGAAAGGCTTAGTACAGTATGGTGTTATCCACGCTGCTTTGAATCATCCTTAAGATATCTAAGGACCAGATTCTCATTAGTTCGTACGATTGAAATTCCTCCTAACTGAAGATATAATAATACACGTAACTGTTTAACATAAGCTTCTCACCAAACTCCCAGTGGACCTGTGGCCTATCACAGTCTTCCAGCCCCCGCGAAACATTGCCAATCGCTCTTGTCCTTGAACACACCTGCCTCCTCTGTCTCCCCCATCATTGTTCTTCGTCTTTGTTATCCATATCATCCTTATTCTTTTGTTCTCGTCCTTCCATGTTATTTTTTTTAATCTGTCGTTATCCATACGTACGTCATGCCCAGGCCAACACAACAGTATCCCCGCCACAACACTTAAGGATCTCTTGAACGTCTACATTATTTATTTTTTTGTCCCTTCTGGTAACTTGGTAAATTATCTAAGTGTTCTCACTCCCGTCACCTGCACCTTGTTGTTGTTGTGTTACTGTGCTGTCCTCTGTGTTCATAATGGTCTTCTTGTTGATGTTTATATAAAGCGATTATCTTCCCTGGGAATATTCACATCGTTTAATAGTGATTATGGGTCAGGCTTTCTACAGTATATCTATAATTGGGTCACCTGAAGATTTGACATCCCATTTCACCTATTTAAACACCCTAACGCTACCCGGGAGGCTACTCTTTAGGTGATTCGATTTGGGGTATAATTTTTATCTTATCAATATAATAAAAACACAGACATGATATCACACTATCTTGTCTTACGCCATAACCATGTCTGAGTCAGTTTTCCTTGGTATGATACAGATTTTTGACAGCTCCTTCAACACCACTTAAGATGCCATACTCGGGCTCTCCGAGTACCCGCCACCCGCCAGAACCCACAGTATATCTTGGGAACTGATCAAATGCTCTTTCGAGATTTAAAAATTATACGTATGTGGATGTTTCCCTTACGAAGATTATTCTGGTATCATGTTGATTTTACAAAGCTAATAAATAAGTTTGAATTTTAAAGAGGAATACTGCAAAGTGACGCCCACTATTTCATTATTTCAGAGTAATTTATATAAGGTTTTAGACGTTTTCAGATTCGTAAATTAATTTCAAAAACATTTATATATGTTTTTCAGTGAGCTGTAACACTCAGCACTGAAGCAGGCATCATTCAGCAGAGTTAATATAATAAGAAAATTATCACTGAAACATACGGACAGACACACCATCTCTGGTTATGCTCGGGTGACTGGCCGCCTCAGAACAAATTGCCTTAATTTTGACTCATTACGTTTTAAACAACATCTACTACCTCCATACTATTATTCTTTGTTTTATTTTTTATTATATACGGTAAGTTTAATCCATTCATATATTAATATCACCATCTTGGAGCAACTTTAGCAGGTACTTCTCACATAGGCGTGTAAGTCATCGGTTTATGTGATTTATACTGTAGTAAGGTTTTCTGTAGGACTTTACGTGGTGGTCGTGCAGATTAAGGCGTGCAGATTAAGGCGGGGCTGACCACTCACCGCGCTCCCTCTCTTCCTTTTTGTATCTTGTTCACGTGCTAAAGATTACACACCTCTGCTAATTTCACCTTCTAATTAACCACCCTAATGCTAACCTATCGTAACTTAACGCTAACCTAACTCTAACCTATGCTATCTTAACGCTATCCTAAAGCTAACCTACCGTAACTTTCCGCAAACTTAACCTTATGTTAAATTTCGTATATTTATTTGCAATGTGTTGTGATACCGTGTAGGGAATGTGTCGTGAAAACCAATGTTTGCTTACTGGCCCAGAATGTAGAGAGTGTGTGTAAGCTGGGCTGGAGCCTCCCGCCCTCAAACGTCAACACTACCATCAACACACTCTTGTAATACTTTTAATGTGCCAACCAAACAACCACTCTTATCATCTGTCACTTTCATTTGATTATCTATGTTTGGGATTCTCTTGACTTGGTTGGTTATGTAATATGCTGTTAAACTACATATTTCAGCAGCGTGTAATATGGCTTAGATATCGATGTATATTTTTTGTTAGTTTATGTAATTTACTGTAAAACTACATAATTCAGAAGTTACATTACGTGGAAATGTTTAATTATTTCACTGTATTAGCTTTAAGTGGGAGCTATACAGGCCCCTCGTTGCTACCATCTCATAAGTCCGCCTTCCCCAGAGTAGCCCGCTAAAGGTCGCATCTGCCAGTGATTAAATTGTAACAAGAGGGTTCATTGTTTTAGTCAGAGCTTGAAGGACGTTTAAGAGTCATCCCACCTTGACTTGGAGTCACTTATCACTGCCTGTCATAGAGGAGAACCACGTCTCCTTATCCTTTGTTCAGATTATCTTTCAAGTTATTATTTTGGCGGCAATATTGTTTACATTTTATGAATTTAAAAACCAATCAACGTAAATATTTCCATACTGAGTAACGAAGCAAGTGTGTCGGCCTCCGGTAATCCCCATATTCGTGGTACTGTAATCATTAGTGTTGTGTTGTGGTCCACTCGAAGGTGACACCACCCCCCCCCCTCCCCCACCACCAGGTATTTCCCACCTGGGGAGAACTTAATTAAACAAATTCAAATACAAATATAAATGGAAAATGAATGTTTATTTCTCCAGCTGGACATACACCAGCTTGTCTTATAGTTTATTATAAGAAACAAACAAATACGTTGACCCAAAAATCGTTGCAACACACACACACACACACACACACACCGTCCTCCTGCCCACACATAAAGATAAGGACCATGTGTAACAAGACATAAAGCAACAGGTGTCAGATTATTGGATAAACACGGTGTAGATGAGTTATTTTTCTTAAGGAGACTCGGTAACAATCATCACCTGATTTACATATTTTCCTTATGATAATTCACGTGTGATCACCTTCCCTGTTTGTTGACGCTACTCTGATACACCGTTGTTGTTTAGTCGTTAGTAAAGTGCAGTCGTCCTCACAAGGAGTAACTATCTCTCTTCCCGCAGGTCTGCACCACAAGATGATCTACCTGTGACAGCTCAGCCAGTAACTAGAAGTACACCGAGGCTTCGATGCAACAAATATGACATTCCTTCCATGAACATACTAAGTGAACGTTACTGTTGCACGATAATAGATAATTTCAAGTAAAACAGTGATAATAGAACATTTACGGCATCCAACAACAGTCAACTATCTGCAGACGCCACTCTATACCTTCCCTGCCCCCCTGCCAGTAGCCTGAACACATACTAGGCTCCTCGTTGAACCTGGCGTGAGTGGAGGATGCCTCAGGCCGGGCCGGGAGTGTCCCCTGCCGAGGGTGTGACCTATGTTGGCATCGACACCCTCCAGGAACAGACCAGACTCAAGGCTCTCCGCCGCGGCTACACATTTAACCTTCTTGTTGTTGGTAAGAACACCATAAGAGCGTTCTGTTAAGTCTCCCATTAGTCTTATGAATACAAATTGTCTCTGACTGTTAAATAGACCACAGTCATAATAGGACTTAATCTGTGTGTGTGTGTGTGTGTTGTGTGTGTGTGGTGTGTGTGTGTTTATGTGTGTGTGTGGTGTGTGTGTGTGTGAAAACAAATTATAAAACCAGGTTGTTTCTCTATCAACTTAGCCAAAATTCAGCTTAATATTTAAGTTTTCTTTAACACTCGGGCAAATTTAATTCTTAGTAACATCGTTTCATTAACATATATAACACATGAAAGGTTCACTGGTTAGTATAATCACTTGGATTTACCTAACAGTTGATTACATACGGAAATGACGTCATTATACAGTATTTCCCGTTAATTCATACTAACCCCAGTATATTATAGTAACCTGCTTCATTATCATTTTAATTAGTCGAGTCTAAAGCTAAGTAAACTATCTTGGCATTAACTAGATGCTATAAAAAATCTATTACAGAAATTACAATATATAATTCTAGGTCGTAGTGGTCTGGGAAAATCAACCCTTGTGAACACGCTTTTCAAGGCTTCAGTGTCCCGCAGGAAGTCTGGGTTAGAAGAACCATTGCCCTCCACCACTGAGGTACGAACCTTGCCAACCAGCAGAGATTTTCTTCTTACCTCTTGCAGCAATTATTAAATAGGATATATTGTGTTCAAGTGAATGATTAAACACTTTATCTGTATATCCCTTGTTTGATATACGAATGTTTTCTTATACTGTAGCTAGCTAATATTTTTTTTTGGGGGGGGGAAGGGAATTTTTTTTCTTTGTTCCCTCTACCAGCCTATTTTTGTTTATATTGTATTACTTTCTCCTCAATCATACACATTCACTTAATAATCATTTCCAAATATATTCTCTTTCCTTGTCTTCATCTTTTCTAAATGTACTCCTAAGTTACTTGATGTTTTATACTTTTTAATGTAATCTTTATTGGCTTGAGAACATTATCAGAATGCCTTCTTCCTGCTTTGGCGTGAGTTTCGTGAAGGAATTGAGTTAGTAAGCCATATGACTTACGTTTTCTTCATCATCCCCAGGTGAAAACTGAGAGTTCCTCTCTGAATGAAGGCGGCGTCAGATTAAACCTTACTATCACAGACACTCCAGGATTTGGCGATCACATAAATAACGAAAATTGGTAAGATATGTTCTGATATACATAGGGGGAAAGAAGTATGTTTCTAATTTAAATAAAAAGTTATGGTCATTAATATTATTTAATCTTGATATCTTTCTATGTCCACCACCATAATAATTGTAGTTGTAATACCTTTGATTTTATTATCACATCACGTGTTTATTTCCACCATAATGACAGTATTTTTACCTAATAACTCACCCTTCAGCTGGGAACCAATAGTGTCGTACATTGAGGCTCAGTATGCACGGTATCTGGAGGAGGAGCAAAAGGTAAACCGGCTCCTGCATATCCCAGACTCTCGCATCCACTGCTGTGTGTACTTCATCCCTCCCACAGGCCACTCGTACGTATACCAAATCTTTAATGTGTATTAGATTCAGTATCTACTGCATCTAACAGAACCTTCATACTGATTTATCAGTACCTGTACAGTATATTCATATTAAAACAGTTTATTTAGCCAGGAAATTACAGATGCAAAGTGAGCATTGATAACTTTGTTTGATAAATTTATATAATAGAGTTCCTTTATGTGCTGATATTTATATTTATATTAAGTTTTGTTATCTATGGCCAGAGGAATAGATTTAAGAAAATAAATAAAATAAAAGACATTGTTTATTTTACATGGAACACTGACTGTCATTTTCAGCTTGAGTTCCCTTGATGTTGAGGTGCTGCAGCGACTTGACAAGATTGCAAATGTGGTGCCTGTAATAGCCAAATCCGACACCTTAACACTAGAAGTACGTGCAATGTGGCGTTGATTTTAGCAGATTTATCTTTAGTGACATAAATTGCAAATCATGATCCAATTATAACTGACTGATGATGGAACTTGTCAAATCCATGGCTGCTTAACTCTATGGTAAAATGAACCTCAGTTGTAGCAGTCGTAGATAAAAAATAAATATCCTCGGTTGATTTGAACTGGGATTTGAGACAGGCTAAAGAGAGAGACAAATAAGGATAACAACATTCAAGAGTTGCAAATGAAACCTGACCCCACAGTCCTTGAGGTTTAGTTGGCCACTGTGTTTGTTATTGCTTGTTCTTTCTTTATGGGCACTGTGGCTGCCATCATGAGCAGTGAGTGATCTTACATGCTGTAGGAGTCTAGATTACCATCCCTCTTCATACCTGAATTTCAGTATTTTATGTGACTTTGTTTTAATGCACTTCATGAATTTATACGTCTCACTACCATATACTACAGTATGTACGTTGTCTGGAACATGATGAAAACTTACAGAAATCTACTCTGACAATTCAATCTTTTTTTAAAGGAGAGAGTGGCATTCAAGGAGAGGATCCGTGCAGATTTATCCGACCATGGAATTAGAGTATATCCTCTCCTGGAATATGAAGACTCGGATGATGCTCAAGAAAACAGCAAAATTAGGGTGAGGCTTATTTTAAATTAGAACAAGAAAGTGGTACAGGTCTGTGATATGAGCGAGTTACTGTACATAGCAAAGACTCCTCATGAAAAAGTTGTATTGTGTTAATGAGATTGTATGTACAGTACACTGTTATCCTAATCTACTGTCTTGTAATTCAATCTGTGTCGCAGATTCTACAACCTGTGATACTTTTTCAGGAACGTCTACCATTTGCAGTAGTTGGGAGCACTGCCTGGCATGAAGTTCATGGGAAGAAGTTACTTGGGCGTCGCTCCAACTGGGGTCTTGTTGAAGTTGAAAACAAATCCCATAATGACTTTGCATATATGAGGGACATGCTTATCAGGTGAGTGTATGTTGTAAACCTTTAGGATATTCTTATCAGGTGAATGTAAGTGGTCTAAATATACTTGCTTATCAGTGAAGTCTAAATTGCATATCAAGGTAGCCTGAGTTGTCAGTCAGGTAATTCTATGTATGATAGGTTATTTATTGAAGAACATTTCGGTCTGGTAAAACTTGGTTGCTTGAGTTAAATACTGTACATACTTGTTAGAAGATTCAGGGTTGCATGTAACCAAAGACATCTCAGTTTCGAATAAAGTTCAGCTTTTCAAATTAAAAACATGTCAATCATTATTTTTTCCACACCAAGACTTCCAATTGTTATGTTAAAGTTCTTGTTGAGATCAAGATATCCCATGTTAGAAAATTTCATGTTTAATAGATCCAATTTCTATGCTCATTTCATAAAAGAGAAGTACAATACAGTACACAACTATATAAGTTAGCTGACCCAATCTACAGGAATCTTTAAATACATGTACTTTGAAAAATACTGCTTTGGAAAAGTGATGAATGGGAGGTATAAATTGCATAGTTGCTCTAAATACTTATTTGTGTTGCATCATTTTTATGGTGTAATCATACAGTCAGTGCAACATGCCAGTTTCCATAGTCAAAGTTGTATAATTTAATTACTTACACAGTGTAACACTGAAAACAAATATAACATATGCATCAGAATTTTGCAGCAATATTAATGTGTGTGTTTCTGTACAGGACACATATGCAGGACCTAATCGGTTCTACAGCTGAACGACATTATGAGAACTTCAGAAGATCCAGGTTGTTTTCAAAAGCCTCTACCAAAGCTCCCATTGTCAATGGTCAAGATTCAAATCATATGAAAAATCTTAATGAATCAAAAATATAACCTTTACCTCTATGTTTAGTGCTTCATATCAAAATGTGACAGTAAGTTAAGACATGTATTCAAAAGACACGAAACTGTATGTACAGTACATTTAACATGACGTATCTCTTCCATTTGAATGTCAATCAGTCGTCAGAGTCCATGTACAGCGATGTAAACCATGAAGAAAATATAATACTTTTTAATATTGGATAATTTATAATTTATAATTGAAATTTCCCATACTGTGTTGTACAGTACTGTATCTATACTAGAGAGACCACTGTTGTCAAACAGCATTTTGAACAAATGCACAGGAAAAAATACAGAATGAATGAATGTTCCCAATGAAAGATGAAAGCTCTTCTAGCCAGTGTGATATTATATTCATATTGTAAATAAAATACTGTACCAGTTCATTATCAGTCTAAATATACTCTTATGTAATATTTGAAACAAGATTTGGTTGAGATTTTAAAACTAAAACCAAAATAACTACAGTAGTAACATTAAGCTTTACAGTGTGTTGGTCAGATTGGAATTGTTGGTACAGTCTACCAAGCCTACATAGATATGTGGCATTTGTCATGTGATTAAAAGAGGTTGTTTTTACATGTTATCTTACGAATGAAATGGTCTTTGAAATCCAAAACTGCACTCTACCAAACACCGTAGAGCACGTCTCCCAGTTTAGTAGCTGGGACCAAGATACAGTGCTGAACACTTGAAATATGGTGGAAGGAGCTTAACTAAAGATGATTAGTACAGTACTTAATTATTTATACCCAATGCAGTATCAAGATTTAGAAATTACAGTATACTTAAAAATTAAGTGCCTAGATTATCATTAGCAGGTGTTTTAAGTATTATAGTATTTGAATTGTAAGATTTATGACAATTCAGATATTACTGTGAGATGGATTACCTTAAGACTTCTTACAAAAGTGCCTTTCATGTCCTGGTTAGATATTCATTCAAGGAAACTGTGATGATTTACCAGTACCATTATCTACATGCCAGTCATAAATAGAATTGACTCAAAATACTAAAGTTATTTCACATGTCATTACCTTCATCCTTGCTTACGTGTTACAGGTTTTCATATTGGGGATATTTTCATGTATCCTCTATGTAAAATGTGTATACAAATTTATGGCTGTTTGTGCAAAGACAATTTCTCACATCTCAACAATAGTTATTCTGCCTCTGAATATCAAAATAGCTGCTTTTATCATTCTTCAACAGCATCATCTCTAATTTGTGTCAGGAAAAACTTTTAGTTATTGTTCGACTAAATTTTTAATTTATATGTTATCGTTAATTAAAATGTATATAAGTAGTCCAGTGAATATAGATTGTATTGAATTATGTTTTCTGAATTTTAGTTCTGTCAGTTTAACTTATTTGCTCCAGCTCAACTATACTGTGCACAAGTTGATGGTATTTATTGATTTTATCTCATTTTTTTATGTTGTATTTAAGGTAATGTATGATACCATTTAATCAATGGGATTTTCTTTGAAATAATTTTCAAATCAAATCTGAAAATTTCACAAATATTGTTATAAAATTGTTTTCCCTGAGACTTGTGAAATATAAAATACTTGTGTTAAAGTTGAAGGAAATACTTACACAGTACATTAACTAAACAATTATTCTTGTTAATATGTTTGTTGATTATGGATATGTTTTTGTCAGGTTACATTATTGTTTTGTTTTCTTCATTAAAACAAGTGAAACATGAATGTTATGTTTTTTGTCATTAATTTCCTTTGTAATTGTGTTCTTTTATCTCATCTCTGTAGCAGCCATAAATGTCTTTCCGCTTAATGTGTTTTATTACATCTACTTCCGAATACATCCATAGTTTTATAAAATACAGTATAGCGTATAATGAAGTACTATTCAAAACATAAAATGGCACTATTGAACCTCTTGGCACTTAATATGACACTGTACTGTACATTTCATTTTTCAATTCAGTTTTATACATCCTGGCTCACTGCTACATAGTCTATTTCACATATGAATTGTCCCAGGTTCAATCCCCTTACACACACTGCCCTGGTATTATTGTACTGTTGGTTGTGTTGCCTGTTATGGGAATGGGACAACTCGCTAGCTGCTAGATATTGAGGAATCATGTTTCAGTATTTGACTGATTTACATATACTGTACTGTAGTCTGACTTTGCTCTTACAATAAACTTTTTCTGCATGCCTGTTTGATACTGAGGCTCTTGTTTTACATTTCTGAAATTTTGGATCACCTTAAGATTAGACACCCTAGCTTATTTCACCTGATCCTAACATTGCCTGGGGTGGGGGGAGAGGGGGAAGTTAAACCATGTTTTAGTTAGGGTGTTTAAAATTCAGGTGAAATAAGCCGAGTCTAATCTTCAAAAGTGACATGATAGTTTCCTCCCTTCTGCCATTCTCCGGCACTTTCTTTACATAAGGTAAAGACAATACCTCAATAATCCCTCCACATGTTGTCTTATGGGTGATGTAAGTTGTGTGAAAGAATAAAGGTAAACTAGATGGTTATTTGGAGACCTACTACTTGCAGAATACGTCAGTTATTGTAATTAGAGAAAAAAAAATTATGGCCAATAGGCCTAAAAACACGTACGAGTCTACCCGACATAATGTAATGGAAACCGAATTTTCCTTACCTATAATTATATGTACTTTATAGACTATTTGTATGCAATTCTGAAGATAGTCAATATTAGTAATGTACCACATAAATAAGGAAAATTAACAGCTGATAAATGCAAATTAGAAATCAACATCGATGTGTGACGCCTTGTAGGTTCCTTTGGAAAGTGTAATACTGTAATGACAATTACTTATTAAAATTAGAATTTCCTGAAAAATAAGTATATTCCATCGTATTTGGCACATGGTCATAATAATAATTTAGGCCCCGTTGTGGGTCGATGACCTGTGCCCGGGTGGGCTGTTCCCCGTAAAAAAAATAAAAATGCATTTTCCTCCAATGACGCAGTCCGTCAAATAATGTTTTGAGTCATATAATACTGTACAAAGCAATCAAATCCTCGTCGCCAAATTCTGTGGTTTATTTATTTCTTAAAGCCATTTATGTAGGAGAGGTTGAGGCGGTGTTCTAAATCCCTTGTTTATTTCCTGCTCCCTTTACAGTGAGTCTCCATATAAAACCACCTGTCTACATATAAACTATCAACATTTAAAGTAATTAAATACAGTTGTTGCTGTAATAATATAAATTATACCTTCATGCATTTATTTGTACAGTAATATATAACATTTGTATTAAATCTAAACTTTGGTTTAGTGTTGGCTGCTGGGCAGTGTTGTCGCCAGTGGCCAACATGGCGTGTGTATGTGAAGTGTTGATACAATATCGTGGATTTACAAGAAGATGGACGAGTCACAGTGAACTAAGAAAGCGGAAGACAGGGAAACAGGTTGGAAAAAAAACTTGCCATTGTATAGCACGTAGTTGCAAATTCCACATTGACATTTTCCAATGTAGGCCATTGACCCAGGGCCCACCGGCATCTGGGGGCCCACTGAAACTAATTTGTCGCGCAGCGTGTCAGTGTATAATCTTGTTTCAAGTGTACACCGAGTATTTCATTATATAGTATATTCACCACCATAAGGGCCCCTGTACAATAAGTATAGGGACCGGAGTATGGGGCCCACCTTTGGGGGCCCACTGATGAGGTTAGGTTAGGTACATGCACTCGATCTATTAACTCAGATTAAATTAAGTTTACCAATTTTTTGTGACTTTGTGACACCAAATACTAGTCGAGAAGTGATTGGCAGTCCGATTTATTCATCTAGGACCATTATTTGACTTCATTCCGGCTATATTTGGCTACATTTGGGTAATTAGTCGGACCCTTGACAGATACTTGGCATGCACTGGCTTCAGAATATATCGGCACCTGCTCCAATGTTGGTCAAGTCTGGCCTTGAATGAGCGCACAATCGGTGCCGTCACAACGCTCTGGCAGATTGTTTCAAGAGTTTACAACTCTCACTCTGAAAAAATTGCCCTCACAGTTTTCTGGACTTGTGGCTTCTTAACCTTGAGCTGTGACCCCTTGTGGGGCGGACGTCCGCCAGCTCCGGGTATGTAAATTCGACCAAGTAGTGCCGTGCCCCCTGACTCCCTGAGATGTTTATATACGTCGATTAGGTCGCCCCTCGCCTGTCTGTAGTACAGTATAAGCTAGGTAGTTGCTGGCGCTGCAATCTCTCTGGGAAACTGAGGTACTGTAGAGCAGGCACCAGTCTGGTGGCCCTCCTTTGGACATATTCAATCAATTGACATCTTTAGCATACCTCAGGGACCAGACGGGGTGGCAATACTGTAATATTTATCCACTGTTTTGTTTAATGGCCGTTAAACTTTACAAAGTGATGTACCATGATATTTTTCAGTGTTTGCTACATGATCAACTGTAATATCAATTTATTTTGTTCTGTGTACAGTACTGTAATTGTTTTCCCAGACACATTTACTCGGGAGCAAAAACGTGGATCAGTCTGATCATTGTAATCATTATCATCGCCGTCATCATTTGACATCCATGATCTGCGTCAACGACGTCCTCGCTGTCATGATCTCATCTGGCTTTCATCTGTTATTTTCCTTTTTGTGACTTCCACTGTAGTTCCACACTTGCCATGACGACGTCATGGCTTCATAGTTAACTAAGATGCCCCTCTCACTGGCATCGTTTTCTTTCAAATGATAAACATAGAAAATTGAATATTTAGTTGGGTGTTAAGAATTTCTTCATTTACACTGCCAGTTTGTCGGGGGTTAAGGAAGCAGGTGGTTTGTTTGATCGGCCAATTATTCTTGATGAATTAACCCACTGTGAGTGCAGGAGGACACTGGAATATTCAGAGAAAATCTGCGATGTTCGGTAGATTCACACTCGGTGGTAAAGCGATAACGCGTGTGTCTCTGAAGAATATATCAAGGGTTTGACCCACTGTATACTGTAGTGGTGTATACTGTAGGGGTGTATACTGTAGTGGTGTATACTGTAGTGGTGTATACTGTAGTGGTGTATACTGTAGGGGTGTATACTGTAGTGGTGTATACTGTAGTGGTGTATACTGTAGGGGTGTATACTGTAGTGGTGTATACTGTAGTGGTGTATACTGTAGTGGTGTATACTGTAGTGGTGTATACTGTAGTGGTGTATACTGTAGGGGTGTATACTGTAGGGGTGTATACTGTAGTTACCCATAAATAAACGTTTTCTTTGTTTCTCAATTAATTTATTAGAGAAAACGGATTTGTCGAGGAGGCGGAGGAGGGTTTACCAGAGAAGATAGGAAGAGGAGGAGGAGGGGGAAGAGAGGAGGGGTTAAGGAGGAGGAGGAGGAGGCGAAGAAGAAGAAGAAGAAGAAGAAGAACTCTCTCTCACTCTCTTTCTCTGCCTATCACACACACACACACACACACACACACACACACACACACACACACACCATCATACAAGAAGAGATAAGATATTTTCCATACGTTTCTAAAAGTATCCCTAAGTGACGAAAAAGTGACGAGTAGTGACGAAATAGTGACGATAATTGATAAGTGACGAAAAGTGACGATTAGTGACGATAATTGATGATATGTGACGATATAGTGACGATAAGTGACGAAATAGTACGATAAGTGACGAAATAGTACGATGTCACGATAAATGACGATAAGAGATGAAATAGTGACGAAATAATGAAAATACACCTTTTCACATATCCGTCGAGACATTGTTCCATAACCGAATGACAGAACACATATCGAATGACACTCTAAAATAACTGTTGGTTCATGCTGACAGAAGTGATTGACGTAAGTTATGAAGTTGACGGACGTGAACAATAATCCGACAGTCTACATATAGTTTGAGAATGTAACAATTGGAGAATGACAGACCACCATCAGTTATTTTAGAGTGTCATTCGATATGTGTTCTGTTATTCGGTTATGAAATTTGTCAAATAGTTATGAAACAATGTCTCGACGGATATATGAAAAGGTGTATTAGGCACATCTTCACTACAACTACCTCACTACAGGGAGTAGGTAGTAGGCAGCTACCAAACAGGGAGGTACTACCGCCTGGGAAGATATTGGAAGCATAATGTGTTGTCTAATGGTAGACCTTAAGCTGCCATATGTGACCAAGTCCCAGGTTGATGATCTGACTTTCTGCTTCATTTTCACACAATTGCAGGGTCTCAGTTGTTTCTCTTGCCATTGACAACACAACATACATATATTGTTTCTCACTTTTGATCTTTTTTTTCATTTTTGTATTTATAGTTCTTTATTATTAATATTATTATTATTATTATTACAGCTACTGTATTATTATCATCATTATTTTATTATTTTATTTTGTTTGTTTTATCATAAATTTTATTTATTATGAATTATTATGACTATTATTTATTATTATTATTATTATTATAACTATTATCATTATTATTAATATTATTACTATTATTATTATTATTATTACATTTTCGACCCCCCAGGCCCCGATGTGGGTCAGTGACCTGTGTCCGGGTGGGCTAATCCCCGTAAAAAAAAACACTATTAGGCACATCTTCACTCTTCACTATCAGGCTACACTACTTCACTACACTATCAGGCACATCTTCACTACAACTACTTCACTACACTATCAGGCACATCTTCACTACAACTACTTCACTACACTATCAGG